CTACGCCAGGCGCCTCATACAAGTAGAACCATACTGCATTTGTCCTCGAGGTTCATCTGTGTTGTAGCAGCTGTCAGAGTTTCCTTCCTTTTAAAGGGTAAATAATAATTGAGTTGTGTGTACGTAGTACGTTCTGCTTATCCGTTCGTCTGTCAATGGACACTTGGTTGCTTCCACATTTTAGCCATTGTGAATATGCTGCTATAAGCAGGGGCGTGCTAATATCTCTTCAAGAGTCTGCGTCCACTTACTCCGGGCACATACCCAGAGGTAAGATTTCCAGGTGATACGGTAATGGTATTTTTAACTTTTTGAGGAACCGCCGTGCGTTTTCCACGGCAGCAGCACCATTTTACATCCGCACCAATAGTGCACAGGTCTTCCAATTTCTCTACATCATTGCCAACATTTGTTATTTTCTGTGCTTTTTAAAGCATGATGTCCATTCTAATGGGTGTGAGGCAGTATCTCACTGTAGGCTTGATTTTCATTTCCTTAATGATCAGTGGTATTGAGCATCTTATTGGCCATTTGTGTTTTTAATTTTTATTAAAAAATTTTTTTGATACTTTATTTATTTTTGATAGACAGAGAGAGACAGAGCACAAATGGGGGAGGGGCAGAGAGAGAGGGAGGGTTCTCTCTCATCAGCACAGAGCCCGATGCAAGCCCCATGATTGTTTAAAGCAACAGTAACAGTCATGTCTTGTCGGGTTTGCATCTACACAGAAGTAAAATGTATGACAAAGCAGCATAGAGGGAAGAAGGCAGTAAATGCAGCTAAACTATTGTAAGGTTTCAAATCGTCCAAGAAATGCTAAAAAAAAAAAAATTTCAGATAGACTGTGATGAGTCAAAATTGCGTATTGTAATATCTAGTGTAACCACTAAAAATACAAAAATATATAGCTTGAAATAGAGTTTCGGAGATGAAACGGAATAATTGGAACTAGTTCACTCATGAGAAGAAGGTAGGACAGGAAGTATAATGAAACAAAGAGGAGGTCAGTAAATAGAAAACAAAGAGAAAGATGGTAAATTTAAAGCCAGTTATATTCATAATGACTCAGTGTAAACGGAAAAAACACTCCAACAGAAAAAGACTGTAAGACTGGGCAGAAAGCAAAACCTGGCCGTTAATATATGCTCTTTATATGAGACCCACTTCAAAAGATAAAGGCACCAACAGATTGAGAGTAAGAAGGTTGAAAAAGCTACACACCTTGCACACACCAACCAAAGGAAAGCTACACTAACGTCACAAAGAGTAGAATTAACGCAAGAAATATCGATCGCATTAAAGAGGACATTCTGTAACGAGGAAAAGGTCCGACCACAGGAAGACAAAACAGTCCTGAATTGGATGTAGTGAATAATCACACAGCTAAAAGCAGAAATGCAAGAACATCAAACGTATTTGGAGATTTTAATTCTGTTCTCTCAGTAACTCAGAGAACAAGCAGGCAACGTTATCAGCGAAGATACAGATTTTAGAAACTTGACTCAATTGACTTTTCTTTTCAGAACACACTACTAGTCCTCAAGTCTGCATGAGAGGTTTGCTAAAACACATCACATGCTGGGCCAAAAGCAAGTTTCAACAAAACTCATGTTTCTCCTTCTTCTAAGTGATGGGCCCGAGGCCACACTTTAATAGAACTAGGGTTTGAATTCAGGCCTACTGCCCCGGAAACCCATGTCCATTTAATTATGCTAATGGCCTCTCATGTTTATTGTTTATCAGTGGTGGATGTCTGTATATAGAAAACAGAACATTGATCTTTATCCCTTACCATACACAAAACTTAATTTAAGATTAATCGTAAAAGGCTATAAGTGAAAGAAAAAACATTAGAGCATCTAGAAGAACTCAGAGGAGAACACTTTCATGACATTGGACAAGTAAAGGTTTCTTAAACAGGACTCTTAAAAGCCCTACCATAATAGAAAAACTCAAAACACTGGGCTTCATAAAAAAAAAAAAAAAAAGAAAGAAAGAAAGAAAAGAAATCATTGAGAGGTAAAAAGACAAGGCATACACTAAGAGGGGGTATTCTTTTTTTATATAGTATAGTTAATCTTTATTTTATTTATCTTAATGTTTAGTTTTGAGAGAGAGAGACAGAGAGAGACAGAACATGACATGAGTCGGGGTGGGGCAGAGACAGAGGGAGACACAGACTCCAAAGCAGGCTCCAGACTGAGCTGTCAGCACAGAGCCTGACACAGGGCTTGAACCCATGAACCGTGAGATCATGACCTGAGCCGAAGTCAGATGCTCAACTGACTGAGACACCCAGGCACCCTGAGAGAGTATTCTTTATTTTATTTTATTTTGTTTTTTTATTTTTTTTAAATATGAAATTTATTGTCAAATTGGTTTCCCATACGACACCCAGTGCTCATCCCAAAAGGTGCCCTCCTTGATACCCATCACCCACCCTCCCCTCCTTCCCGCCCCCCAACAATCCCTGAAAGGGTATTCTTAATGCACATATCCAACAAAGGACTCAATGAGGAATGCTTAGAGTACTCTTAGAAATCCATTTAAAGATGTGACGACCACTCTTGAGGCCAGGAAAATGGAAGCAAAAATAAAGTACTGGGACCACATCAAATAAAAAGCTCCTGCACAGTGAGGGAAACCACCAAAAAAACTAAAAGGCAACCTTTGGAATGGGAGAAGGTATTTGCAAAGGACATATCCAATAAAGAATCCGTATCCAAAATATATAAAGAAATTATACAACTCAACACCCAAAAAAACAAATAATCCAATTTAAAAATGGGCAGAAGACATGAACAGACATTTCCCCATAGAAGACACCCAGATGGCCAACAGACACATGAAAAGATGCTCCACATCACTCATCATGGCGGAAATACAAATCAAAACCATGATGGGATACCACCTCACACCTGTCAGAATAGCTACAAGAAGTAACAGGTGTCGGTGAGGATGTGGAGAAAGGGGAACCATCTTGCACTGCTGGCGGGAACGTAACCTGGCGAAGCCACTCTGGAAAACAGTGTGGACGTTCCTCCGAAAGTTAAAAATGGTAATTGCACTACTAAGTATTTACCCAAGGAATACGAAAACACGAATTCGAAAGGACACGTGCATCCCTATGTTTACTGCAGCATTTTCTACAATAGCCAAATTATGGAAACAACCCAAGTGTTCATTGACTGATGAGTGGATAAAGACGATGCGGTATGTATACATACACACGGTGGAATACTACTCAGTGATGAAAAAGAATGAAATCTCACCATTTGCGATAACATGGATGGAGCTAGAGAGTATAATGCTAAGCAAAAGAAGTCAGAAGAAGACAAATACCACGTGATTACACTCAACAAACAAAACAAATGAGCAAAGGGGAAAAAATGAGGGAAACAAACCAAGAAACAGACTCAACTACAGAGAACACACCGATGGCCACTGGAGAGGAGGCGGGGGATGGGAGAAACCGGTGATCAGGATTAAGGGGTGCACCTGTTGGGCTGAGCGCTGGGTGACGGATAGAAGCGTTGAGTCACCAGATTGCCCACCTGAACTAACATCACACTGTATCCCAACTATACTGGACTTTAAAAAGGACACAGAGAACATTTTAAAAAGACTGCCAAGCTAATAGGAAAGTGACGGTGATAATACAAACATTAACAACGACAAGAAAATAATCAATAAAAATTTTTTAATTAATATGATTTAAAAAGACACAATCAACCTGATTTTTAAATACACAAGAGACACGGACAAGCACCTCCCTAAAGAAGATACTCAAATGACTGACAAGCATCTGAAGCGATATCCAACCGCCCGGTCGTCAGAGGAGTGCAAACGAAGAACAAGAAGAGAGAACTGAAAAGACTCGTGGCGACAAGGCTGCCTGCCACGTGCAGGAAGCGTAGCCCACGCTCAATGCTGTTGGTATCTGGATACGTGGAACCACTCTGGAAAATGTTCAAACACCGGGGGTAACCCAGCTGCTCACCCACGTCAGGAGACAAAGTTCTGTGCCCTGTGGATAGCAGAAAACCTGGCTACGCGCACAGTGTGGATGAACCCCACAGATTCCGCGTCAAGCGAAAGTCACGTGAGTCCGTGACCGTGAAATCCCACAACGAAACTGGTTACGGCGGTAGCAGTCAGGTGCGACCTCTGTGGGGTCTCTGCCTGGGAGGGTGCCTAGGGGACCTGATGGGGGCTGCAAATGGTTTTCATCCCGAGCTGGGTGGTGGTCTCGCTGGGTGGGTACATGTGCAGAAGTACATCTGGCTGGACAGATAGCAGCACACGCAGCTGTACTCGATCCAAAGGAAGAGAAAATACTCGACTGATCCCAAAGAAGTAAAGAAGGAAGGAAAGAACAACAGTGCCCCTGGGGGGTGGGGGCGGGGGGCTCTGGGCAGACCCTCCTCACAGTCCTGCTCCTGCTGCAGGGGCGCCTGGGTCACCTCTGCCCCAGCTCCTCTGTTGGCCGCTGTTCAGGGGGTGCTGGGTCTCCCCCCGCCCCCCGGGAAGGACTCGGCCTTCCCTTCGGGAGACGGGGAGGAGAGCCAAGCTCAGCCTCCGGATTCCCATGTGGCAGTGAGCCCTGAAGGCCGTGGAGAGTCAGCTGGGCTGGGCCGAGCAAGCGTTCTGCTCTGTCCAGAGCCCACTCGTGGGGTTCAAATGAGGTAAAAGACAAGAACCGTGTGGAAGATGCTTTAGGTGACGTTACCCAAAGGAGCCCCCAGGGGAGTGTCATCCTTTTATGAGCCAACAGGGACTTGGTGGGATCTGCGTACCCCAGCACCCTGACAGGAGCCCCAACCCCGGAGAGGCGCTCCAGGTGTCCCAGGGCGGGACTTCCCTGGACAGCTCCTGAAGCCTCCGCCCCCCCCAGACGCCCCCCCCCCCCCGTGTAGGTGAGCCTTGCTGCCCAGTGCGTCTTACTGAATGGGGGACACGGGCGCGTCTTACTGAGCGGGCGACACGGGGCGCGTCTTACTCAACGAGGGAGTAGTATTGCTGCGTCAGGTCCTTCCACTCGTCCTCCGTGAGGTCCTGGGCGGCGTCCTTGGAGATGTCGATGTCCTCGTGCTCCAGCTGACCCAGGTAGGCCTGGCACACCTTGCATGCGGTGTCCACGAGCTCCCCCGAGAGGCCCATGGGCTTGGATTCCGCATCCTCGGGAACTGAAACCCAAACACAGGCTCGTGGAGGGGGGACCACCTGGGGCACCGGACACAGGCCGCCCCAGCCCGGCCAACCTGGGCACCACGCCTGCGTCTGGCCTTCCCGCTGCTCCGCCCTCCAGCCACACTCAGCACCCACGAACGCGACACTACTTCCTGACTTGCTACAGAAGCCCGGCTTTCCTGAGCCCACGCTGGTGTCCGGTAAGTACTTGGTGAGCAGTCCTGCCTGACGCCCGCGAGCCACTGTGAGCTTACCCACTCTTACCCAGCATCTCACTCTCCTGGAACCCCAGAGTCAAGCTGGACCCCTGGGTCTCAGGAAGCACGGGGAGCTCCCCCGGCAAGGCGAAAGCGACCCTCGAGAGGCCGAGCTCCCACGCGAGGCAGCGCGGGCCTGGGCCCCCCCACCCCCAAGCCACTGAGGGAGAGGGAGCTCACGGCCAGCATCTGTCTGCGCGCACTTATGGGGAAGGAGCCTGAAGAAAGGTAAACCCAGGGACCAGGAGGCTTGTTGGGATGAAAACAACTCCACAAACTGGGGCAGGGTGGGCATGGGGGTCAGGCCCTGCATGGGCGGAGGCCTCACAGACCCCGGCAGTGCTGGGCCCGGGAGAAAGCGCTGCATTCACACGGCTGTTGTAGACATTACAATGTGCGTTTTTAACCTGTATTGTGGTGAAATTCACAGAACATAAAAATAACCATTTTCAAGGGGAAAACTTCACTTCTGTTTTCTGATCAGGCACATAAGGAGCCTGGAAGTTGTCAACCTGGCCTGACGACAAGTAAAAAGAATCAACAACTCTTCTTTGCTGCTTCAGAGCTGAGGTCGCCGGACAAACCATCGTCCCCGAAATTTGCAGAGACGGTCAAGTGGATACAGCGAACCACACCTCACCAGGTCAGAAACCCCCAGACGCCAACACCCGGACAGGAAACCTGAACTGTAATTCCAGGACCGTCTGGCTCAGGGGGCCCCCATGCTTTCGTCAGTCTTACCTCTGGCAACTTGACCTGGTTTTCACAGTGAGTATGGGAGAAAAATCCCCTCCTGCTTCTGGCAAGGAAAGGGAAAAGGGACCATCTCGCAAACTGCCAGAGCATTCTGTTCTTCAGGAGGCCCGCCCTCAGGAGAAATAATTGCCCAGAGCCTGACCTGCTGGGAGAAGGCAAAGACCCAACTCCACCCCCCGCTAGCCCTCTGTCCCGCCAAAGGGGGTAAAAACTGAGAAGCACAGTGACGTTCATAGTCCGGGGGCACAGGTTCACTAAAGACTGAGACCTAATCATGAGATTATAGAACACTCTTTCAGACAAAATTTTTAAAAAAATTGAGGAAATTTTTTTTGCCAGTAGACCTGCCAAGAAATCTCAAGTTTTTCAAAGAGAAGGAAAATAACACAGGTCAGTTCCACATAAAGAAAGGAAGAGTGTTAGCAAAGGAATGAATGAAGGTAAAGTACAAACTTTTACTTTTCTTATTCTTGATATTTTATTTTTCTTATTCTTATTTTTAAGAAGAATATTTTTATTATTCTTGGGGTGCCTGGGTGGCTCAGTCACTTAAGCATCAGACTCGATTTTGGCTCAGGTCATGATCCCATGGGCATGGGATAGATCCCCGCATCAGGCTCTGCACTGAAGGTGAGGAGCCTGCTTCAGATTCTGTGTCTCCCCATCTCTCTGCTCCTCCCCTGCTCGCTCTCTGTCTCTCTCCCTCAAAATAAGTACATTTTTTTTTAAAAAGAGAAAACATCATTATAGATCTCATGGACATTGAAAAGATAGTAAAGAAATACTATGAACTCTCTGCACACAAATTTGATAATCTAGATGAAATGGACCAATTTACTGAAAGACACGACCTGTCAAAATTCACACAAAAAGAAATAGATGATCTGAAGAGACCTATATCTATTAAATAAATTGAATCAGCAATTAATAACCTTCTAAAACAGAAAGCACCAGGTCCAAATGGGTTCACTGGTGAATTCTACCATTTAAAGAAGAAATTATAGCAATTTTCCACAATCTCAGTAGATAGAAACAGGGAATACTTCCTTCCTCGTTCTATGAAGCCAGCATTACCCTATCACCAAAACCAGAGAAAGACATGAGAAAAGAAAACTAAAGACTAAAATCTCTCATGAATAATAATACAGAAATCCTCACTAAAATACTAGCAAGTCAAATCCACAATGTATAAAAAGAATTATACACCATAATCAAATAAGATTTATCTTAGGTATGCAAAACTGGCTCAACATTTGAAAATCGATTAATGTAATCTATTACACATCAAAAGGCTAAAGAAGAAAAATTACATGATCGTATCGATACAGAAAAACATTTGACAAAATTCAACTCACATTCATGATAGAAGCTCTCAGCAAGCTAGGAATAGAGAGGAACTTCCTCAACTTGATAAAGAATATATACAAAAACCCCCTATAGCTAACATTATACTTAATGGTGAGAAATGAGAAATTTACACTCTAAAATCAAGTGCAAGATGGGGCGCCTGGGTGGCTCGGTCGGTTAAGCGTCCGACTTCGGCTCAGGTCATGATCTCACGGTCCGTGAGTTCGAGCCCCGCATCGGGCTCTGTGCTGACAGCTCAGAGCCTGGAGCCCGTTTCGGATTCTGTGTCTCCCTCTCTCTCTGACCCTCCCCTATTCATTCTCTGTCTCTCTCTGTCTCAAAAATAAATAAACATTAAAAAAAAAATTTAAAATCAAGTGCAAGGCAAGGACCTCCTCCCTCTCACCACTGTTTTTCCAACATCATACTGGAAATCCTAGCTAATGCAATGAGACAAGAAAATAAGAGGTACACAAATTGAATAGGAAATAAAACTGTCTTTATTCATAGATAACATGATTATCTATGTAGAAAATCTGAAAGAATTGACAAAAAACTCCTAAAACTATTAAGTGATTAGTTAATCACTTTCCTACATACCAGAAATGAATTATTGGAATTTGAAATGAAAAACACAACACCATTTACATTAGCACCCAAAAACTTAAATAAATATATAAATAAATAAATCTAACAAAATACGTTCAAGATCTATATGAGGAAAACTACAAACCTCTGATAAATGAAATCAAAGAAGAATGAAATTAATAGTGAGATATTCCATGTTCATAAATAGGAAAGATTTACTGTCAAGATGTCAGTTCTTGGGGTGCCTGGTTGGCGTGGTTGGTTGAGCATCAGACTTTTGATTTCGGTTCAGGTCATGATCTCACAGTTTGTGGGATCAGACCCCGCGTCAGTCTCCATGCTGACAGCATAAAGCCTGCTTGGCATTCTCTCTCTCTCTCCTCTCAGACCCCGCGTCGGGCTCCATGCTGACAGCATAAAGCCTGCTTGGCATTCTCTCTCTCTCTCCTCTCTCTGCCCCTCCTCCCCTTGTTCTGTCTTTGTCTCTCTCAAAATAAATAAACTTAAAAAAAAAGATGTCAGTTCTTCCATACTCAATCTATAAATTCAATGCAATCCCCATCAAAATCCCACAAGGCATCTTATGGATATTGACAAGTTGATTCTAAAATTTACATGGAGAGGCAAAGGATACAGAATAGCCAACCCAATATTGAAGGAGAAGGATAAATTGGAGAATCGATACTATTCAACTTCAAGTCTTACCACAAGTCTATGTAATCGAGACAGTGTGGTACTGGTGAAATAACTGACAAATAGATCCCTGGACCCAAATAAAGAGCCCAGAAATAGACCCACAAAAATATAGTCAATTGATCCATGACAAAGGCGCAAAGGCTATACAACAGAAAAAAAGTGGTCTTTTCAACAAATCGTGCTGAAACAGGTGCAAAAAAAAAAAGCACACAAAAAAGAATTTAGATACAGCTTTTACACCCTTCATAGAAATTAACTCAAAATGGATCATACACCCAAGTGTGAAACACAAAAGTACAGAACTCCTAGAAGACAGCATGGGAAACCACCAAGATGAAGCTGGGTGCAGTGATAAGGTTTTAGACACATTCCCAAAGGCACAATCTATGAAAGAAATACTTGATAAGCAGGATTCAATACAGTCAGGAGGATGAGAAGATACGTCGAGGACTTGGAGAAAATATTTGCAAAAGACACATCTGGTAAAGGGCTGTTATCCGAAATACACACACACACACCACACACACAAAACCCCTCTTAAACCTCAACCAGAAACATTTTCAAATGGTAGGGAAGCTGAACAGATTTCTCACCAAAGACTATATTTACAGATGGCAAAGAAGTATATTAAAAGATACACAGGGCGCCTGGGTGGCTCAGTCGGTTGAGAGTCTGACTCTTGATTTCAGCTCAGGTCATGATCCCAGGGTCATGGGCTAGAGCCCCACATCAGGCTCCACACGGAGCATGGAGCCTGCTTAAGATTCTCTCTCTCCCTCTGCCCATCTCTCCTGCTTTCTCTCTCTAAGAAATAAAAAACTTAAAAAAAAAAAGGTTCTCTCTCTCTCTCCCTCCCTCTCCCCAATTCACACACTCTCTAAAAACATACAAATAAATAAGTAAACAAATGAATAGGTAAATAAATAAAAATAGTGTATTTTGAAAAGCAAAAAAAGATGCTCAAGGCCACGCGTCATTGGGGAACTTCAGGTGAGAACAGCAAGAGACACTGCACACCTGTCACCTGGGTCACACGTGGCCCAAATCCAGACCACGGACGCCACGAGCGCTGGGAGGACGCGAAGCACTCATTGCTGGTGGGGTGCAAAATGGTGCGGCCACTGTGGAGGACAGCTTGGTGGCGTCTTACCAAACTAAGCACACTCTTTTTTTTTTTTTTTAATTTTTTTTTAACGTTTATTTGTTTTTGAGACAGAGAGAGAGAGAGAGAGAGCATGAACGGGGGAGGGTCAGAGAGAGAGGGAGACACAGAATCCGAAGTAGCTCCAGGTTTCGAGCTGTCAGCACAGAGCCCGACGCGGGGCTTGAACCCACGGACCGCGAGATCATGACCTGAGCCGAAGTCGGACGCTTCACCGACTGAGCCACCCAGGTGCCCCAAAGCACACTCTTACCATCGTGTCCAGCGATCAGGCTCTGTGGTATTTAGCCAAACGAATTGAAAACTTACGGTTGCACAAAAACCTGCACCCAGATCATAACTGCCCAAACTTGGAAGCAGCCAACATGCCCTTCAGTAGGTGACAGAGAAAGTCAGCCACACGGTGGGCCATCCACACAATGGAGTGTGATGTGGCACTAAAAGGAAATGAGCTACCAAGCCATGACGGAGTTGGAGGGACCTTAGCTGCGCATCACTGAGTGAAAGAGGCCAGAAAAGGCCACGTCTGGGGGCGTCCGGGGGGCTCAGTCGTTAAGCGTCCAGCTCTGGATTTCAACTCAGGTCATGATCTCACGGTCTGAGCGTTCGAGCCCCACGGCGGGCTCTGTGCTGACAGCGTGGAGCCCGCTTGGGATTCTCTCTCCCTCTCCGTCTGCCCTCCCCCACTCTCCCTCTCCTCCTCCTCCTCCCCTGCTCATGTGGGAGCCCCCCCTCTCTCTGTCTCTCTCAAAATAAGTAAATAAACTTGAAAAGGAAAAGAAAAAAGGAAAAAAAAGGAAAAAAAACTAGAAGAAAAAAAACTAGAAGAAAAAAAAATTTTTAAAAATAAATAAAAAGGAAAAGCAAAGGAAGGCTACGTATGTATGCTTTCAGCCATATGACATCTGCAAAAGGCGGAATGACGGCGACAGCGAAAGGACCAGTGGTGGCCAGGGGCGGGGGCCAGGGGCCTGTCCCCAGGCGGGGACGGGTAGGCAGAGCACGAGGACATCAGGGCACCGGAAGCACTGTGGTACCGTGACGGCGGGCCCGCGTCCTCACACAGCTGTCCAAACCCACCCCGCGTACAGGACCGCAGCTCGCTACAAACGCCGTGAGAACGACGTGTCCACACGGGCGCATCCGTCACAGCAAAGGCACCAGCCGGTGGGGACGCTGACGGCGGAGGGGGCTCTGGGGGCCTATGGGAAATCCCTGCACCTTCTGCGCAAGTGCACTGCGAACCGAAAGCTGCTTTATCAAAATCAACAACAACAACTTCTTTGGGTTTCGTAGGCCTAACGCCACGGTGGCTCTGCACCACGCGGGAAAGCCACTCCCCGTCTCCCTCTTCTGCAGGGAGGGAGTACCCCGTCCTGGATGCACGGCCCGCTGCCCCTCCTGCACTGTTCTCCCCACACGGTGCAGCCTCGGGCCCCACACACCTTTCTTGCTGCCGGGGCCGCGGTCGCCGGCCTCCCCGCTGCTGCCGCACTTGTGGTGCCTGACCACCCACTTGAGGATGCTGGAGGCCACCGTCCGCCGGAAGTCGTCTGAAAGGACACCCAGGCCTCGCCCCCTCTCCGGCCGGGGACCAGGGACCTCGGCCAGCACCAGCTGTCCTCAGCCCAGGCGCCCCACAGGCCTCACCTCCCCCTCGCTGCCTTCGAGGGGGCCGTTCCCTCTGCCCCGGCCTCTCATGGGCCCTGTCAACAGGCCCAGAAGCAGAACCCGCGCACCCCCTCCCTGCCTCTCTCCTGCTCGCCCCAACCCCCCACCCGGGGCCACAGTGCATGGACACCCTCACCACCTCCCCCTGCTCCTGTGCCCTCAGCCCCGCACAGAGGACAGAAGACCCCCGCAGACACACCAGGACCCTGCCCACCCCAGGAGCCTCTCTGCACCTCCCTGGACATGCTGGCTCCCACAGCTCCTGGCGTGCATGGACGGAGGGGCTGGGCACAGAGGACAGCTCTGGGTCCCACAGACGCAGGCTGGGGGCTGGCCTGGCTCGGAGCGCTGGCTCGTGCCCGGAGAGGTGGCTGGCACCCCCGTGAGCCAGCCCATACTCACCTCCCACCCGCGCCCTCGGGGAGGTCCGCAAGAGACTCCCACACCTTCTCACCAAAACTTGCCCTTCCTCATTGCAGAGGAAGCTGCCCCCCACCCCAACCCCACCCGCCCACCCGGCAGCTGCTGCCACGTGGGAAACATCCGGAACCTGAGCTCCCTTCCCCAGCTTCCCCAGGACCTCAGAGCTTCTCTCCTGAGCCTCCTCTGTCCACCGGAACAAAGACCCTGAGCTCGCCTGCTGACCCGTAGCCCCTCTGCCCGTCACACTCAGGCACACTGCCCGCTGCGGCCCGGTCCCCTCCGAGCTCCTGTCCTCTGGGTCTGAGAGGCCCGTGCTCACCACCCTCTCCTCCCCTGCACCTCTCACCTCCAGCCCGCACAGACCCCACCTTGTCCTGCCTGTAGCCATCTGCTCCTGGGAGCGCCAGGGTGGGGTCAGATCACACGGCAGGGCAATGCCGTATCTCCATGGCCCCAGGCCCGTGCTCAGGAAACACAAGTTACCCCCAAAAGGGCAGTGCTCACCTGTCCTGACCTTCCCCTTCTCTCTCCTCCCTCGGCGGGTCAATCCAGGAGTCCTCCCTCTGTCCCCAGGCCAGAGCCTGTCACCCACAGGACCAGCCCCACGCCAGCCTCTCCCAGAAGCCCAGTCAGAACCAAGCTGCTGACGCTCGGCTCCACAGCCCCCGTCAGCCTCCTGCTCCCATCCTGCAGCTGCGGCCCATGGAAACGTCTGGACCGGCCCTCACCACGTGAGACGGAGCTGAGCCCCCGGGCCTTGGGACGGGACCGGTCCAGCCCTGCAGCTGCGGCCCAGCCCCCCCTCCCTTCCAAAGGCTTCTGCAGCCACCTCAGCGAGAAAGTGGGCCACAGAGGGGCCCTGGCCGCCTGACGCCCGGTGGTCTCGCCTCCAGCCACGGACTTACCCAGGAATTCTTGCTTCTCGTTCTCGGTGCAGAGGCCGTAGCAACGTGGGAAGAAGGAGTCAGGGTCGGCCTGGACGTACCACGGTAGGTTCCGCATGTTCACACACAGCCCGATCTCCAGAGACAGCGGCACGTCAGGCCCCCGCAGGCCGTGTGCTGGTCCACTCAGACCAGCCTGAACGCCCACCGGCCGGCAGCACCGGCTCCAAGGGGCTCTCGGGAGGCGGGGGTGCCCCCCCCACCGGCCTCCCAGTCCCTCCTGACCCCCGGTCAGCTGGTTGTGCCAGCCGACGTGCAGGCCAGGAGGAGACAGGGGTGGTAGGTCCTGTGCTCACCTCCCAGGTGCCTAGATGGTGCTGAGCCCAGGCCCCAGGAAGGAGGGAGTGGGCTCGCTCATGGGCACACTCACGGCTGCCCCACAAAAGTAACACTGGCTGTCACACAGGCTTGGCAGTTTTGCACCCCACGGTCCAGCTCATTGCCCCACTTGGAAAAAGCGCCGAGTGGCCGGGAAATGCAGCGCCCACTGGCTGCTGGGCACACTGGTGGCTACTCTGTCAGGGGGTCTTTGTGGGGTTTCTGGCCTGACTGTGCCACCTGCGGGCACGGCCCACACCCCAGAGGAGGTCACCAGGAGGCCTGGCGAGGGTGTGTAGGGGCCAGACCCCCACGGGCAGCACTGGTGGCAGTGTAAGCCTCACCCCTGAGCCTCCGGGTTATCCCTGTTGCCAGGAAGCCCCTCTACCCAGCCTCTCCCGAGAGGATACATGCAGGCCTGTCCACCCTGGGCGGACCTCAGGCCCCTGAAGTAGCAGGGAGGGGGCCGTGGGACTGAAAGGGGGTGACAGGAGGGGCCGGAAGCCCCAGGGCAGGGGCGGTGGCCTGGCTCTCCCTCAGACCCAGAGCCCCTCAGGGGTGCAAAGCCCAGGTCGGGCTGTGCCGGTAACCCCCACCGCCCTGCCTGGGGTTTGGCCTGCGTGCCCAGAGGACAGTCACAGGCCAAAGGGCACTTGGGGCCCTGGGAACAGCAGTGGGGCAGGTGCTGAGGGACTCTGGACACCGATACTGCATGGTGTGGCCTCTGACCAGGCAGCGGTCCCAGGGAGGAGCCCGGAGGTGACAAGTCCACATGTCGTCCCCCCAGCCTCAGGGCCCTGGTGCTTGGGGCTCCTGTCCCGCCAGCCTCCCCGCCAGCCCTCCCACTCACCTTGGTGGTGAAGGAAGCCGTCTTCCCATAGTGATTCAGCATCTGGTCACAGTTCAAGCTGTGATAGTCAACGACATCCCTTTTGATGGTCCAGAGCAAGTACGGCATTTCGTTTTTGACCAACCTGGACTGGCAAGAAAAAAACCCTCATCGAAACCCAACATCCAAGGTTCATATCTTTGGGTGTTGGGGTGTCAGTAAGAGTGAAGGAAATCAGACTTTAAATGACACTTAAAGTGTGTATTCTGTGATTCTCGTCTGGAAAGCTAGAGACACCTGTACCCTGACGGCCTACTCTGTGCTGTGCTGGGAGCAACCAGCACACAGGGGCCCTGCTCTCAAGAAACAAGTGCGGGGCTCCGGCTGGCAGCTGCAGGGCCACCAAAAGTGTGTGGCTGAGTGAGGTCTGAGCTGCCTGCCTGTGGATGCCCACGTGAGGTTTGGGGACATGCCACAGGTGGGCATGGGGTGAACTCTCTGCTTCGTGGCCTGAGTGGCCATGGGAGACGGCCTCCCCCCCTCCTCCTCACTCCTGCCGATCAAGAGGCAGGGCCACTGAGCTAGACCCAGGGTGGCCTTGGCGGCTATGCTTTTGTTCACAAGTAGAAGCACCTGTTTGGTCAAAATATCTTACCAACGAGATACAAGGAAAGGAAAACATTGTCCAAAATTCTGACACCCTCAAGACCCTTCAGGGTCATTCCGAGCAGACCAGCATTTGAGGGCACACCTAATGTTCTGCAACGCAGCCTGGCCTACCTGGACCCCATGTGAGGGCAGGACCGGGCTCCCCCCACCCCAATGCCAACACGAGCGCCCGGAGGGAGCAGGGAGCTGGCCAGCAGCATCAGTTCCTAAAACCCATCCCAGTGCTGGACGCATGGCCTTCCCTCCTACTCCAGAGTGATGGCTAGCTTTTGTTGCCACTTTCTGGAGCAAGTCCCATTTGTTCAAATGTGGGACGGACTGTCTTAGCAGGGCCTGGACCTTCAGCCCCCTGACTCCACACGGCGCCTCCTCAGGGTTCCCCGAGTCAACTCTGGAGCTCAGTGTCTGCATCCGGGGCTGGGCCCACTTCCCCGTGTGTCTGTTCACTGCTCCTCTGTGAGCACTGCACACGTTCTGGACCTTAGATCGCCCCAGGTCCGTGGAGTGCCCCGCTCTGGCTGGCCTCCCGGCTGCCCTCAGGGGTCTTCCGGGGACCCAGAAGACCTGTCCTCCTTCCAACCGTCAGAGGTATCAGCTGTCTTCCTTGTGGAGCTGTTGGGCAGGGTTTTACATTTCTCCCCTCCCCCACATCAGGCAACTTGCAACATTCCCCCTCGCCCCACCCCCACCCCGGCAGGTGCACGGTGTCCCAGTGCTGTCTCCAGGAGCCGCTGCTTCTTCAGCGCTGACCTTGCTCGTTGACCTGGGTGAGGCCCCACAAGCCTGGCCCTGCTCTGGACCTGACTCTGCCTCCCGCCTGCGCACCCCTGTCCCCACCATCGCGGCCTCACCAAGTGGCCTGTGTGCCCTCCTGCCTGCTCTGGTCCTTTCCCACGGCTTCCACAGAGTTGTAGCCACAGCCTGTCTCCTTGCACGCATGCGCACACATGGACACATGCAAGCACGTGCACAGGGCACACACAAGCACATGAACAAGGGCATGTACAGACGAACACGAGCACGCACACAGGCACACACAGACACACGGGAGAGCAGGAGCATACGGACACACAGGAGAACGCGCACATGCCCCCTCCCCCCTCC